CAAATAGTCTGTATGGACATTTGGAGTGGAGACATCTCTAAATTTGCACATCTCCTGTATCTTATGAGCGATTGAAATTATGCTTTGCTCATAAAGCACAGCACCTTCTTTGATATGAGCACATCATGCTGGGTGGTCCTGTGCCAGTGCCTGTCATGTCTCAAAATCAATTCCAAAGTTCTTCAGAGAGACATTCAGAGTATTGTATTGTTTCTTCTGACTTCTGCGTGAGTGCCTGCCTTGTATGATTTCTCTGTAAAATAGTCTTTTAGGCAAACGTACATTTGGCATTTGAACAACATGACCAGCCCATTGGAGTTGTACTCTCTACAGTAGAGTTTGAAAGTTTGGCAGTTCAGCTCAAGAAAGGACCACAATGTCTGGTACCTTATCTTGCCACATGATCTTTGGAATCTTCCTAAGACAATTCAAACGTAAGCTATTCAATTTCCTGTCCAGGTTTCATGGGCATTCAACAGTGAGGTCAGTAAAATGACTCTAGACCATCAATCAGTTTGGTAGGTAACCTAATACCTCTTCTCTCCCGCACTTTTGTTCAGAGCCTCCCAAACACTGAGCTAGCTCTGGCAATGTGTGCATCAGTCTCATTGTCTTTGTGGACATCCCTGGAATATTTACTGCCAAGATAAGTGAACTTATCTACAGCATTCAAATTTTCTCCATTTGCTGTAAATGATGGTTTCATGTATGGATGGTGTGGTGCTGACCGGTGGAGAACTTCTGTTTTTGTGGTGTCAATTGTCACACCAAAATTAGCACAAGCAGCAGAGTCAAGCCATACACTGTTTCATCTAAGCCTCAGAGACAGCATTGAGTGTACAATCATCTGTGAACCAAAAGTCATGCATGAATTCTCTCTTCGCTTTAGTCTTGGCTTGCAGCATTTTCAAGTTAAATAATTTATTGTCAGTGCAGTAGCTGACCTTCATGCTGTTTTTGTCCTAGTTGAAGGTATTCAACATTGTGCTAAAAAAGCGTGGGAGTAAGAACATAGCCCTGCTTCACTCCATTGGTGACTGTGAAGGTGCATGAGCATTGCCCATGTCCAGAACACATGTAAGCATTATTTTAACAAGGAAGTTCATCTTTCCATCACCTAGATCAGAGGTGTGAAACTTGAGCTCACAGACTCATAGCCCACAAAACTCTCCATAATTTGTGGTTTTCTACATAGACTGCGGGGATTCACTCCTGATCTCGATTGTTTGATTTTTATATTTCTTTCAGTTTTCAATAAAGAAGAATTAGCTTTGCTTCCTGTTCCTTAAGCATAAACATAGTGTTTTTGACATTTGGCCTTTTCAAATACTTTGTATTTGTAGGTATTCTGGGGCTACTGTCCCAACCCCTATTATCACTGGCAGGTCCTATCTCTGGAAGAGTGTTACTACATCTCTCCTTAGAATCTAGGGGTACTAATGAAGGGTTGAAGGTCTCTTTCTAATGCTCAAGCTTACCCTACCACTGTGCTTCCTCGGTCAAAATCAGTTATTTATCCAAATCCACTAGATTTTTAACTCCTCAAAGATAGAAATTGTCTTTTACCTTTCTTTATATTCCTAAAACTTAACATAGTACCTGACATGGAGTAGGCACTTAATAAATGCTTATTAATTACTTATTGGCTGACTTAATTAGATTTTAGAAACAGGTGTTTACTACAGTGCAGTTTGGTGCAACACATCCTTTTCCCATCTCACTTCCCACAAGCACCTGTGACACACTGCCACAAATACATATAGAGTCCTGGCAATGTTTTGAGCTGAACTTAACTCAGGACAGTCCCCTGGTACTTGGTATTTCATATTGCAATAGAATAAGTTACTTGCAGATCATTCAATAATTGACAAAGGAAGATTTAGTCAGCCCTAGCAGAAGAAGGATATTCAGCAAAGAAACACAACAAGGAAACATGGAGTTGATTCATCTGAACAAAGCTCCCTTGTCTTGGTTTGATCAACCAGCAAGGAGAGAGCTCCTCTTAGTCATTTTGTATTGAAACAACCAGGAAGTGATGTCATGATTCTGAGCTTTTAGTATCCTGATCTAATTAAATCTCAAGATGGTTTTAATATCTGTTAAGGAAAAACTAGCTTTATGAGGTCAGGGGATTAGGATATTGCTAACCCAGATTGTTGACTCTAAATCATCTTTTCCATTGTACTACATTGCCTTGTGTGTCTGCTTTAGAATGGAGACTTCTAGAGACCAATGACAATTTCTAGTATGGTGTGTAAATCTTTTCTAGCGTGGTAAATGAATCTTTGAATCAGAAGGCCTCCTCTCCCATCTTGGCTCTTCTACTTACTATACGTGTTACCTTGGATCTACAACTTAACCTCTTTCAATTAAAGTTTCCCATATATCAAATAGGTAGTATAGAGCTAATATTATAATGTCTATCTCACAGGAGTTTAGTGAGGATTAAATTAGACAATGTGTACTGTGCCATTGGGATCTTTAAATACACATGAGTAATTAGAGGATTTTTTTTTAAAGAAGAAAATGCAATTATTTAATTCTGAATAATCCTGAGTCTGTATGTACAATCAAACATTTTCAGAGGTTTGTTTCAGAGGTTTAGAGAAAGATTTGAATGGTACATTTATGCAATCCTCTACACTTTGCCTTCTATCCTCTTTCCTATTTTTGCTTTAGGTTGATCATGTCCTAGTTGTCTCATCTAGACCTAACTTTGCAACTCACTGTTAATATATTGGTAAATTCTAAAAATATGTTGGTAAATTGGTCATGTAAACAAATCTCAGGCTGGGAAAGTATCTTTCTTTCAAACTTGGCATCCTAAAGAATTGTGGGACTGAAAAGGAAAAAGCCATGAAAACTCAAGGGAAAGAGACATATACACACAGTCATGGTTTCTAGTAAGGAAATAAAAACTATTAAATGAGATAAAAGAAAAGGAAGACAACAGAAAAAAGAGGCATGTAATATATTCACCAGTTGCTTGGTTTAGAAAGGAGATTCTGGTTGTACACTGTCCTTATTATATAAAAAAATTTAATTTTTTATTTTTTAAAATTATGCTTTTAGTTACTTAATGTAGTTACTTAATCAGAGCTTTGTAAAAGAGAAGTTTCTTCCTAAAATAGACACGAAAGAATGAAAGGGTGTACTTTGTATTAAAATCCCTACTGAAAGTGATGTTTTTTGGAACTTTACTGTGGATTCCAATTTATTTTGTGGCATGATAATCCTCTGTTACAGGGTGTCCTCTGCTTACTAAAAGTCCTAAATTGAGAAAGTCAGCTCAGTCTGATGATTGGAAAGTTATGGAAAACAGAAAGAATTTCATGTAATTCTTAGCTAGACATAGCACATTTACAAAAAAGGACCATGATTTGGGGCACAAAACCCTATACAAATAAGTTTGGAAAAGCAGAAATTAAACACATCTTTTATTAACAACAGTACAATAAATTTTTTATTACATAAAGGGCCTTTAAAAAAGGATTAAATATTAATTTCAGACTAAATAATTTAATCCTATGGAATTAATATATCAAAGAAAACAATGATAGAAAAAATAGAAAATTACATCAGAGAAAATGACAATAAGACAACATACCAAAACTTTTGTCCTTAGGGCAAACATTATATCACTAAACACATTCATCAATAAAAGGTTGTAAGAATATGTCAAGAAATTGGGAAACAACACTAGAAAAGCAAAGAAAAAATAAAATAACTAATCACTAAAATAAAAATCCTGAAAGTCAAAAAAGAGATTAAGAAAATTGAAAGGAAAAAACTCCATTTAAGTGATAAATGTAGGTGGTAGGATCATAAATGTGAAGTCATGCAAAACATTTCCATATTAGCCATGTTACAGAAGAAAACACCTCCCCCCCCAAAAAAAAACAACAAGAAAAATGAAGTAAAAAAGTGTGCTTTCGTCTGCATTCACAGTTTATCAGTTTTCTCTCTCTGGAGGTGGATAGCATTTTTCATCATGGGTCCTTTGGAATTGTCTTGAATCGCTATTTTGATCAGAGTAGCTAAGTCTTTCACAGTTGATCATCACACAATGTTGCTGTTACTGTGTACAATGTTCTCCTGGTTCTGCTTATTTAACTTTGCGTCAGCACATGTAAGTCTTTCCAGGTTTTTCCTGAAATCAGCCTGTTCATCATTTCTTACAGCATGTTGGTATTTCCTTGTATTCATACACGACAGTTTGTAGATGGGCACCCCCTTAATTTCTAATTCTTTGCTACCACAAAAAGAGCTGCTATTAATATTTTTGTACAAATAAGATCCTTTTCTCTTTTCTTTGATTTCTTTGGGATAAAGACATAGTAGTGGTATCACTGGGCACAGTTGTGTAGTCCTTTGGGCATAGTTCCAAGTTGCTCTCAAGAATAAGTTCACAATTCCACCAACAGTACATTAGTGTCTCAATTTTCCCTCATCTCCTCCAACATTTGTCATTTTCCTTTTCTGTCATGTTAGTCAGTCTGGTAGGTATGAGGTCGTACCTCAGAGTTGTTTTAATTTGAATTTTCTCTAACCGATAGTGAAATATTTTTTTTCATGGGACTATTGATAGCTTTGATTTATTCTTCTGAAAATTGCCTGTTCATTTTCTTTGACCATTTATCAATTGGGGAATGTGAGCTCATTATGTTTCTAAAGTAAATTCCATATAAAGGGCTATTGGGCTCTTCTCTGTGCTCAATCAGTATTTCTGGTATGTAAAAAAGGCCTTTAGATCTACATGAAGAAAGATGTTATGTTGTGGATGTGTGTATTCATATATATGCCTGAAAGAGCATATGACTTTTTGTTTTCATAGGCATTTGAACAGGTTTTTAGTAACCTTAATTAGATCAAAGTAGCTATATTCTGAATACAAGTGCATAACATTTCAGAGTGAAAACAGACTAAGCAAGCTGATAGTATTCTTAAACAGATCTATTCACTTCCTTCTCCCCTTACTTCCTCTTTTTTTTTTTCCTTAGATCTGGAGTTGAAACTTTGCCCCATAATGCTAAGGTGCATTACAATTATGCTAATTTCTTGAAAGACCAAGGTCGCAATGGAGAAGCCATCTATCATTACAAGACTGCCCTCAAGTAAGTTTTCTGCTATGGTATTGTTCACCCTTGTGCTGTCTAGTTTTATTTGATGCATTCTGTCCTGATGGACAACGTGTTTTGTTTTTATTCTGATGATACGTAGATTCTTTGTTATAGATTTAATTTCTTGAGATGAAAGCTTTTTGACTTTTTCGATGCAGTAACTTGGGATTTATTCAACTTTTTGTGCATTCTTATAAAAACTTCTAGAGCTATCCTCAAAGCTAGGAAGACCTGATTTCAAGTCACACCTCTGACATATACTAGCTGTCTCACTTTAAGCAAGTTATTTAACTTCTCTCAGCTCTGGGCAAGTTTCTAATATGTAAGATATAGATATTTATATTTATATTTCATGCAGTGGAAAAAATTAATCCTGTCTTGACTGCATTGAAGTAAGACTCCAATTATAAGAAATATAATTGTCATATTGTAAATATAATGGAAAAAATAAAACTTTTCAAATATATGCACATCAATATTCAAAATAAATAATACTTCCTTCCAGGGGCGTGCTGGTAAATGTGTAACAACCCTTTCCTCCAAAAGAATGCATGATACACTGTTAGGTTTAAGTTGCATCCCTATCACTATCTTAATGCAAGACAATCAACAAAACAAATCAAGTCCCGATTTGTAGCATTTGCCAATTTCTGAGGTATCAATAAATGCTCACACTGAAAATTTAACAATAAGATCTCATAATCAATCTGGTATGAGGTAGGTCCAGTACATTTCTGCCACACTCCTTTTTTTTACCACAAACCCTGCCAGCTGTAGATATGTTTGTTTCTTCTTTGAAGGAAAGCACAAAAGTGAAGCAAAGAATGACCCATCCATATTCAAGATCAGTCACAGGTAGCTTTTTTTTTTTAATCTTATCTATTAAGGTTTCTAGGTGGCTCAGTATATAGAACACTGGACTCGGAGTTAGGAAGATCTGAGTTCATATTTGGCCTAATAGTTACAAGCTGTTTGACCCTGGGCAAGTCACTTCTCCTCTGTTTACCTCTGTTTCCTCAACTGTAAAATGGGAATAATAATAGCACCTACCTTGGGAGTTTATGAGGATAAAATGAGATAATATCTGCAAGGTGCATTGCAAACCTTCAATTATTATATAAATGCCAAGTGTTATTTTAAATATTTAATAATAATTAATAATGACTAATATATACATATATAGTGCTAAATGTTTACCTTTAGAAAACACTAGCTACATCATCTGATTTAATTACAGCCATTCCTAAAAGGTTTCAGATATGAAGGAATTCAGAAACCCTAATTAATTTGTGTTTATAAATTAATCTAATTTTGCATTCCAACAGTTGCAAGCACCAAGAAGGTAAAATAAGTCTTCTCTTAAGGTGTATTCCCTGCTGCTCAAGCAACAGGTTTCAATGTCCATTCTCACTACTGTTTCTACAGAACTCCTCTGGATGTAGAATGCTGTTTTTCACAATGATTGGCCTATATTTGATCTCATATACTGTGCCATTCCCCTTCTAGAAATATATTTTTAAATACATGCCAAGAGAATAGGAGGCAGAATGGTGTAGTAAAAAATACACTAGAGTATAGGTATTGGGAGAACTGGGTTCTAGACCAGGCTCTGCAACTAACTTGTTGCATGGTACTGGACAAAACATGTTTCCTCTCTAGACTTCAGTTTTCTCTTCTGCAAACTAGAACCATGGGATTCAGAACTGGAATGGACCTTTGAGGCCATCTAGTCCAACATACTTATTTTACAGATGAGGAAATTGAGTCCTGGAGCAGTTACACAGATAGTAAATAACAGAGTCAGGATTCAAACTCAGGACCTCTGGTTCCAAATGTAGTGTTTTTTCCAAAGCAAATATTTATTAATGGCCTTTTATGGGTACATTATAAATTCATGTTATCCATCTTCAGCCAGTCCTTTACTACAACAAGGCATTATTCTTCCCTAATTGAGTCCCTCAAAAGATTTTGTAAACCTTCCCTTCTCTCCTCAAGCTTCTCTTACCTCTACTCTACCAGCCCTCAGGTGAGGACCTTGTCATTTATTTTAATGGGAAAATTAAAGTCATTTGACTTGAGCTTATTCTTCCCATTTCTTTATCTCAAAAATCTTTGACATCATTATCTCCTTTCTCCTACTTTCCTTTAGTTTCTGACAATAATATGGCCCTTCTCCTTGCCAAGCCAACCCCTCCACATATACTCTGAATATCATTCTTGACTGTCTTCTCCAACAGATCGCAACTTCAATAATCCCCCTTCTCTGTAATTTTTTGGCCTCTCTATCTACTGGTTCCTTCTGTTATTGTCTTCTAACATAGCCAAGTCTCCTTTAAAAAAAAAAAAAACAAAAACCTTTCACTAGCCCCTCACACCCCTCAAGCTTTTCTCACCTTCTCATCCACACTCTTAGAAAAGACTATCTATATTCTTTGGCCTCACGTCTTCTCCTCTCATTGTATTATGGTTTGCATTATCATAATTCTATTGAAACCACTGTCTCCAGATTTACAAATCATTTCTTAATTGTCATATCTGATGGTGTCTTCTCAGTCTACATTTTTCTTTACATGCTGCATTGAACACTTTAGACCATTCTTTCCTCTTTGGGCTTTGTTACAACACACTTTTCTGTGTCTCTGTCTTGTTCACCCAGAGTCTTAGGAACTGAAGTCTACCATCTCCCCAGTAGGAGATTTTTAGCCTCTGGCACTAAGCTCGTTAGAACAAAGAACCGGGTTAAACTAGATGGCTGCTGGGGTCCCTTCTAGCTCTTAAATTTTGGGATTCTGGACCTTTCCAGCTAGCTAATGCTTTTAGACTTAGTCTTTTTCTTTTTTAAAAAATTCTACCTTTGAATAATGGGGTTTTATTTCAGTATGGAAGACCTCACTCTAACTTATAGTGATTTTAATTTTAATCTTTGAAAGCTAGACTATAAACTAGGCAGTGAGTATTTGCCTGATGACTAGTAGATTATTAAATACCTTTAGGAAAAGACTCAATAGGTTTTGAAGCTATTCACCCAGGTAGCTGTGTGGGTGAGAAACAAACACAGAAATAATGCCAAGCCCACTGGGCAAGGTCATTTTCTTTTCTGCTAGCCCAGCCAAATTCCTAATCCTAGCCCTCTTATGTTCTAGTAAAAACCTGAAAGGGGTTTTACAGAAAAACCATTACATAAAATTGCACAATAATGGTCAAAGTGCAATCAGAACAAAAATTGCAAGCCAGTTGAGCACCCAATATTTATTGAGCATCTGTTTTGCTAATCTGTTATGTTCGTTTCTGTCAATGGATTGAGATCTGTGTTAATGAATGGAGCATTCACTCCCAGTGGAAATATAAGTCTTTGAAATATGCGTTGATAAGGATGATTATTTTGTTGAAATTTCATAGTTAATTAATCCAAAGCAATTAAATAAGAGGCTGTGTGTATAGTAGATAGGAGGTAACCCTTGATATCTGGAAGATCTGGGTCGAAGTCCTTTTGACACGTATTAGTTGTATAACCAATGTCAAGTCACCATTGCACCCACACAACTCCTTAAGACTAGAAGTTAGAATGGTTTTGATCTGCATGTCAGTACAAGGAATTCTCAGCCTTATGAATCTCCCAATGAAATCATAGGTCTAGCCTAAAAAAAAAAAAAGAAAAGAAATATCTGTAAATATTAGTTCTCATAGAATGAAAGTATTCCATATTGTTGTTTAGTAGAATTACTTAGCAATGTATTAGAGTGAACTAGGTGCAAATCATGCAAATGTAAGAAAGTGAACTAAAATTAATCCAAGACACTAGCCAAGTTAAAATTGTGCAATCAGGTTTATATTATGTCCCCAATGTAACAGAGCTTTTCTTACCTTTCCTGTAGCTATAACAGGCATACTTCCCTGTTATTTCAATTAAAGACTCTTTATTCCTCAACTCCTGGTTTTGATTTATTTTAGGAGTTGACAATATAAACCTGTCCTGCTTCTATGTGCTTTTTTTTGAAACTCTTATTCTCTGCTTAGTTCAAAATTTAAAATTAATTAAAAATTAAAATTAAAAAATTAAAAACTGTTTCAGTGGCTTTTTTGTTACTACTATAACTAAAAATAAAACAAAACAAAAAACAAAGAGGGAAAAAGTCTTTGTAACATATAAGCATGGCAGTGCAGCAAATCCACTCAGTTACCATGTTCAAAAATGTATATTATTTTCTGTACTTTGAGCCCATCTTTCTCATAGGAGGTGAACATGATTCATCATAAGTCCTCTCGAGGCATTTTTCATCATGGCTTTAATCAGAGTTCTTATTCTTTCAAAGCTGTTTTTCTTTATAACATTAATGTCCTTGAATAAATTGTTCTGGTTCTGTTCACTTCATTCTGCATCAATTCATTTTATATAGGGTTCTCCAAAATTATCTCATCATTTTCTTTCTGATGCAATAATATTCTGTTACATCACTATACCACAGTTTGTCCAGCCATTTCCCAAATGGTAGGCACTGTCTTAGTTTCCAATTCTTTGTTTTTCTTTTCTCTTTTAATTCCCTCCTTCAGAATCCAGAAGTTTGTTGTGTTTATGACTATTCCCTCCCTACTATCATCCTCCCTCTTAACTTACCTTCCCCATCCCAACCTGTCTCTCTGTTGAGTTTATTGTATAAAACTTTCATTTGCATATATTCAACCTTGTTTTGCCAATCAAAACAAGATTGAAGTTCATCTAATGCTCACTTCCCCACTCCCACTTCCACATTATTCATACCAGTTACAAGGAATGGCAAATTTCACTCCCTTCCTCATTCCTTTTACACTACAGTTTTATTTTTGCCTACCTTTTCTTTCCCCTCTTAAAATCAATGTGTGCCCTCACCCCTCTTTTTTTTTCTTATTTGAAGGAGGACATTCCTTTTCCCTTTATTAGAATATTAGATGTGTTTACATCATACAGCTCCTTCTAACCAATAAATTTATAGCTCCTTCTGAACAATAATTTACTT